TTATTTATATTACTGATGTTATCGCCTTTTTTTATATTTAGTGTGAAGTTTATCACAGTTTTTGTGGGTTTTTTTTTCCTTCTCTGTCTGTTACTTCCTGCTTTTACTCTTTCCTATGTCTCTGTTTCACTTTTTCTACTCTCTCTCTCTCTCCCTTCCTCTGTTTCTCTCTGTCTTTCCCAGCTTCCATTCCCCTTCTCCATTTTATCATCCCGCTTTCTAGCACCTTTCCTTCCTTTCTCCCTCTCTCTTTTCTCTCTCTCTCTCTCTCTCTCTCTCTCTCTCTCTCTCTCTCTCTCTCTCTCTCTCTCTCTCTCTCTCTCTCTCTCTCTCTCTCTCTCTCTCTCTCTCTCTCTCGCTCTCTCCCTCTCTCTTTTCTTATCGTTTCCCCCTCTACGTTTCGCTTCATTCCCTCAGATTAAGACTTCCATGGATCGAGTACTTACTCTACTGACCTTTTTCTTGTTTCTGAGGACGTGAGCATCCCTTGCGTCCTCAGCGTTGCCGGGAGTTCTGGATCCCCACAGTTCCCAGCCCATCCTGATGTAAGCGAAGGATATGATCCCCAGCGGCACGAAGAATTGGAGTCCTACCATCACGTGAGAATACGTCCACATTACCGCTGGGTCGATACCTTCCTGTTGGTGGTGATGGTGATGGTTGTAGAAGGGGCAGTTGTGGTGGTGATGGTTGTAGGTGGTGGTGGTTTTAGGGGGGTTGCAGAAGGAGGCAGTTGTAGAGGTGATGGTTTTAGGAGGTGGTCGTTGTAGAAAGGGCAGTTGTGTTGGGGATGGTTTTAGATGTTGTTGGTTTTAAGAGGTGGTGGTTGTAGAAGGGGGCAATTGTGGTGGTGATGGTTTTAGGGGGTGGTGGTTGTAGAAGGGGCAAATGATGGGTGATGGTTTTAGGTGGTGATGGTTTTAGGGGTGGTGGTTGTAGAAGGGGCAGTTGTGGTAGATATGGTCTTAGGTCGTGGTGGTGGTGGTTGTAGGGGGTGTAGAGAGGAGGCAGTTGGGGGTGAAGGGTTTTGGGGGGTGGTGGTTGTAAAAGGGTCATTTGTGGTGGTGGTGGTGGTTGTAGAAGGGGGCAGTTGTGGTGGTGATGGTCTTAGAGGGTGGTGGTGGTAGTGGTTGGTCAGTTGTGGTGGTGATGGTCTTCGTTCACTCGCGTTGGCTACCCTTCCGATTTCATAAACTCTCCTTATTCACATGCTATACGGACATTCTTCTCTCCCAAAACTCTCTACTCTTGTAAAATTTCTTGTTCCTTGCCTTCCATATATTTCAAGTCTGCCAGATCTTAACAACACCCTTCATTCCTTATACTTCAGATTTACTTTTCGCCAAATTAACACCCTTCATAGTAATATAGTTTGTACCTCTCCTCCTGCAACTGATGCTTCCGGAGTCTACTCCATTTCTTGCTCCTCTTGTCCTCTCCAATACTTTGTAGTAACTGGCCACTCTCTGGCAGACATAAAGAGCACAAAAGTGTTAGCCTTGCCGATACTAGCAAAGCTCTTTCCTGTCGTGTTAGAGGTCACGGTCATACTATTAACTGTTCCTTTGCCAAAACTGTCTACCATTTTCTAATCTTCACAAACGCCATCTTGTTGAAGCATCCCTTATACACAACTTTCCTAATATGAGTCTTAGTCCTGGCATTGTCTCTGTAGATGCCTTCCTTTCTCATTACAATGTCAAATGCTCCAAACTTCAGAACACTCGTGACTTGACCTGATCACTATCTTTTCTCCTTACCTCTTCTCCTTTCCTATATTTTCATTGTCTCTTCTGTTTTTCTTTTTAGTCCCGCTGGGATTAGTCTTGGCCTCGTGTGTCATTAGCCCTCTGCAGTACTCCTCTTTTATCTTGTTCTTAGACTACCTCCAATAATACTACTACTACTATTATCTCTTCCCTAGTCTTCACCCTGGCCCTTTTTTCACTACTACTATTACTCGTTACATTACTCTCGTCCCCTCCCCCCTCTCGTATATAATCTGGCTCCTTTCCTTTCGCGCTTCTGTGTGGCTAGTTATTGGTCCGAGTCGGACCAGAACGTCGTCGTAAGTTTCAGTCTTCTATGTGCGGGTTATTTGCATAGTGTATCAGGAATACAGTGAGAACAGAAAAAGTCGAGAACAGAAATTCAACAAGAGCAGCAACAGTGTAATTAAGAATTTTGTTGGTAAAAGAATTCAATGATCTAGATTACATTAATAAGAACAGGAAACTCATGAGAGAAGTGGAATGAAAAATGTTAGTAAAGCGCGGAATGTACCATGAAAACTGGAATACAATAAGAACACAAATACAACGAGAAATACAATGAGAACGGAAGTAAAGTGAGAATTATTAATGAAGCCAGCAGAAGGATGTGAGATAATAGACAAAGGTAAGAAAATAATAAAATAATTTAACACAAACACTTGAACACATAAGGATTCTCCGGTCAATCGCAAAAGTACACGAAGAACGAGAGATTCTAAAGTGATCTTCGTGGCTTCAAATAAGCCGAAAGTCCACAAGGTGTGGAAATCTGCAGATGCGATGATTGCAACTCAGAAACAGCAAATGATTTACGCCTGCCTGGAATGAGGAGTGATGTGGCCGGAAAGTTCAACGTCAACACTGTAAGAGACTTGACAGAAAGTTTAAATGAATCATCTAAGACTAGTTTTGTACATAACAGTAAGGCCACCCACATCTCTCCGGTGTTAAGGGCTCTGCTGAAATGACAGATCTGTCCATGCAGGATCCAGGCGAAAGATAAGTCGTCTTGCTCTGTTCTCTGTTCTCTCTCTCTTTCTCAGTCTCTTTCTCTCTCTCTCTCTCCCTCCCAACTCACCGCAACACAGACGGGCTTCTGTTCTCTGGTGCGAGTGTCTTCGATGTACCGGACCCTCAGAGCTATGGCGTTAGGGATGGCCAACGTTGCGCTGAACAACCAGATGGAGGCGATCACCACCTAGGTAAAGACGTGGGTTAATTAATACACCTCCTGGAGTGAGTGTGAATTATTTTTATGAGTGTGAATTATTTTTATTTCTTTGTTTTAGTGTATAATTAATGATGTTTACTGCTATTATTGATATTGCAACGAGGAATACCTACCATGGTTGTAATAGCCGATATAGTTTTTATACTTTTCTTTTTTTAATATAGGATGGGGTCCACCTCTGGTGTAAATTGTGGGACCCATAGCCTCGGAGAAGTGGATAAAAAGGCTTCAAGGAAGAATATTTGGATTTCTTCCTGAAGCCGTTTGAATATTCCATTTTCCCTACGACCCCATCTTTTCATTCTTTTTTTTACCAATAGGAATATTTTATTACATAACATGCCATTTGATGCTGATACTGAGTGATGGGGAGAGTATTTGGTTCCGATTTTCATTAAACTACCAACATAGCAAACTTGGCAAATCGTTGGGAAAGGATCCTTCCCTCTTTCCTTCCTCCTTCACACTCGATCCAGGATCAGATGGTGTTTTGTCACTGACTGGAAAGAATACGAACATCTGCTCTGTTTCCAGTAACATAGCCACAGAGGCAAACTTTTTCTTTTATTAAGCATTGTCAAATTTGGTACCTATTATTTATGAGTATCATCCCGTATTTGCAACCTGTGTTCTTTGTGTGGATTCTGTCTGTTTAACTGCGTTAATGACCAGCCTCTGAGAGAAAGAATCGTCATTCTGACCCTTTTTAAAAGTATCTATAAAATACTGCTACACTTTCACTGGTGATATGTACTCTGACTTTAGCAAAACTTCCTGGTCATTTTTGTGTCTAACGGAGTGAGTTAAAAACATCTCAGATGGGTATGAAAGATTTAGATGTCATTTAGGTGAGTAACGAATGGAGTGGGTAAAAGAAAAACTCTTCGGATGGGTTAGGAATATATGGACAGCTCATTAAGGAAATTAATGGCATAGTAAGTTGTTTCGCGAAAACGTGCTGAAACAGTGTATAAATATCGTTGGATGGGGTGGACCATTTTGAATGGTGTGTACGTATGTATGTGTGTGTGTGTGATGTAAGCACCTAGGAATACCACATTCGGGAAAGCCATTTGGACATGTTCAATAAAGTAAGGTTTCAGGGATAAAAACATGAGCTACCAGTACACGAGCAAATGAACCAACTTCGTAATAAAATTCTCCACGTGGACAAGTCACCTCAGCAATCGGAGAAAATCTTTAAGCTTTAAGAAGCTTATAAACCATTTGGAAATATCCTGGACTAGTGAAACTTCAAAACATCAACAAGTAATTTTTTTTATCTTCAAGATGTTTTCACGACAGAGTTTGCAAAAAAAAAAAAAGTATGTACTTCAAAGAGGAAAGACGTCTTTCATCTCTTTATAAGTCATCTGCAAAAGTTTAAGAGTGATAGCCTGGAGGTCCTGGAATATTACGCCAGGACTCTGAAGGGTATGTAAGGAAGTGTGCTGGATTAAATAAACCACAATGATGATTAATATAATAATAATAATAATAATAATAATAATAATAATAATAATAATAATAATAATAATAATAATAATAATAATAATAATAATAATAATAACAACAACAAAAGCAACAAAATTTAAAATTGACAATAACGCAGAACATTTTATTTGATTTTGGGGGAATGTAGTTAGCCTTAAGAAAATTGTTAGGTTCATGACAACTTGGTAAAGCATTTTAGAAATGATTTCTTTTATTGTTATAATGTGTGTGTGTGTGTGTGTGTGTGTGTGTGTGTGTGTGTGTGTGTGTGTGTGTGTGTGTGTGTGTGTCGGACTGAAGTCTCAGGCTTTCCCTCAATTACTTACCTTACTCCTGAATTTGGTGGGTCTGGCGTTAAGAGGGAAGACGATGGCTCTGTATCTGTCGACGGCGATGGCTGTGAGGGTGAAGATAGAGACGTTGACGCTGACGGTCTGGAAGAAGGGGCAGAAGGCGCACATGAACTCCGGCAAGTTCCAGCGCTGGAGAAGAGCCGCCTGGAACTACGTCGTTAAAAATAAAGACAGAAACAATTAGTTGAGCGTATGTTGAATGTACGTGAGGATCAAGAGGGAAATGGAAGATAGCAATAAGGAAGAGCCGCCTACGGAACTGCAATATTAATGAGAGAAAAAAGATTGTTTGACATTGTTTAGAATGTGTGCGGTGAAGTCAGGGGAGGTTAATAAAAGATGCATTTTTGTTTAAGTTTTGTATTTCTGAAAAACTTTTTTTTTTTTAACAGTAAGAAACAGGTGCCAGCCTTTATTTCCAGCAATCTGGAACTGTAAAATGAGAGAATCATTGGTTGCTTGTGAGGTTATTGCTGTGATAAGGTACTGGAGTGCTGGTTGTGAGGTTATTGCTGTGATAAGGTACTGGAGTGCTGGTTGTGAGGTTATTGATGTGATAAGGTACTGGAGTGCTGGTTGTGAGGTTATTGATGTGATAAGGTACTGGAGTGCTGGTTGTGAGGTTATTGATGTGATAAGGTACTGGAGTGCTGGTTGTGAGGTTATTGATGTGATAAGGTACTGGAGTGCTGGTTGTGAGGTTATTGATGTGATAAGGTACTGGAGTGCTGGTTGTGAGGTTATTGATGTGATAAGGTACTGGAGTGCTGGTTGTGAGGTTACTGATGTGATAAGGTACTGGAGTGCTGGTTGTGAGATTATTGATGTGATAAGGTACTGGAGTGCTGGTTGTGAGGTTATTGATGTGATAAGGTACTGGAGTGCTGGATTTGGGACACGGTCATATGTTGCATTCCTTTTCACCTACGAACACTGAATGTTACAGAGAGCAAGTGAGAGCTGTATATTAAGCCGGAGGATTAGCAAGGTGAGTCAGTTTTATAGGCACTGCAATATTCTGGAAAGGTGTTTATGTAAAAATGTGCTTCTCCTCGCCTACGAGTACTGAAAGTTTCAAGGAACAGATACGAGCCAGATTCTAGTGCTGACTAACACCTGACTGGAATTGTAAATGATTCACAGAAGATGGTAGAATAGTTGATATAGTGCAAAAGGTGTTTCAGGAAGCGAGGAAAGGTGTGTGTGTGTGTGTGTGTGTGATATTACTGAATGACCCTTGTTTTGAATGAGCAATAAACTCCAGCACTGAAGAAAAGTTGTTTTACACAAATCAATTGTACAGGTTAAGATTTGTTTTCCTATCTCAGCTGTATCTTGTCTGAGGTAGACTGCCACCCCCTGGGATGAAACCCACAGCAGTCGACTAAACCCAGGTTCCTACTTACTGGAAGATGAACAGTGGCAGCAGGTATAATGAAACGTGCCCAACATCTCCACCCGTGCTGGAGATCGAAGCATAGACACTCAGTAAATGAGTTGAGTGCACTACCACCCGAGCCAGGAACTGGAGCGTTAGAAGAGACGGGTTTGGAGAATTTAGGAAAGTGGAAATGCCTGGGAAGGAAGTCGGTGTTGGATTGTCTTATATGAGTGCTATGAGGACGACATAAGAGGTTTAGATGAGCCTCCATCAGCTTCCAGCGTTGAAAAATAGCCGTAGATAACTGGATTGTAAGAGACGGAACTCTTGTTGGTGAGGTGTGTTCAGATGACTGAAGTAGGGGAAGAAAAGTCAGTCTTGGACACTCTCTTTTACACGGTTTTTACGAGGTTAGAGGAGTTCTTTTCTTTATTTAGAGACTAAGAGCTGTTACCTACATCAACTCATATTAAAACCTTTTTATTGTTATGAGACATGAAAAAGGGGACCAGGAAAAAGTTGGAGCCATCTGTGGGTCAGCGATTTAATTTGATAAGCTGACTTTATTTCTTTGAAGTCGATGGAAAAATAAACACAAATGTAATATTTCTTTCCATCGTGTCGGTGTTTTATACCATTTATCTCCATTTCGAGTCATCCTAAGAATAAGTGAACTCAGATGAAGTGATGCTCTTGAGAAAGTTACAGTCAGTATGTAGTTGCTGTTTGCTGCCCGTCTTATCGTGTAAAAGTTCACTTCTCGCTGTCCTCGGAGTGGAGCCAAGTGTGGTATGTTGACAACAATGAATGTGTTGTACATAACAGAATGCCACCCACATCCCTCCGATGTTGAAGGTTCTGCTGAAATGACAGATCTCTCCAGGCTGCTGGGTCCAGGCAAGAGTTGAGCCGTCTTGTTCCATTCTCTCGCTCACCTCCTTCCTTGAAAACACTCAACCTCCTTCCTACCAACGTTCCCCACTCTCACTTAGCAGTTTTCACTTAATTTCCTTGGCTTTCTTCATTCATTTCCTCCCTCCCATCCTCCTGTTCTACCTCCTTTTCAATTTCCTTTTTCTTTCTCGTACACTTTTTTTCTTATTTCCACGTCTCGCTTCCTCTTTTCCATCCATATCTTCTGACTCTTCTTAAATCTTCTTCCCATATTCTTTTTCCACCTCCCTTCATACTTCTCTCCTTCCCCTCGTCCCTCCCTCCTTGTTTTCCTTCCCTCACTCTCTCTTTACCTTCCTCTCTTACTTCCTCATT